CAATGGTTTAGGGGAGTATTTGTGGCATYGGCAGCTTTCCCTCTAATGCGACTGTTAGGACTGTGTCCTGTGAGTCGGAGTAAAACCTCTGAAACGTGTTAGCCACAGTCTGATTGAAAGGGGGGAGGGATTTTAACAGTGAGCTTTAAGTAAGCGACATCTTTTTGAATTTCCTGGGCAGCTGCCCTTGTCTCTTTGATGTGCCATGCCTGCTGATGCTGTTAATGAAATGCAWAATTATGTGTGATATAATAAAACAGAGCTAACCTGAAGGTGGTTAATAGATTCTAATGATGTGGAGGCCTGAGAAACTCAGGTCCGCGAGGGTTGTTGAAAAGTGCCTCCGGTGACAAAGCAGAGAGGTTTGAATAACTCTGCTAATAAATTAATTGTGGTCTGTGTGTGTAAGTGCTATTTTTCAGTATTTTGTATGTAGAGAGAATATGGGTGAAACTTACTGGGCTGCTGATGTATGAAGTGTYAGTGCTGAGTGCTTCCAGCATCTATTAGCGCTGCCGGCTGTGGATAGACTGGTGCCCGAGGCAAGGAATCTTTCTGGCATTGCCTGCTGCATCCATAAGATCAAAAGGGAGAAGTTTGGCAGTGTACACAGAAACTAAACTGCACCTTAGAGCTGCCCCTAAAATGCGTGTTTGCAATGAATATCAATTAATGAAACTGATGTTTAAGGACCGAAGAGTTGTAGGTGTTTGGTGCCTGCCCCTCACTTCCCTCTTCCTTTCTTTGCTTGTGTCACCTTTGTCATCTCTCACTCTGTCATATCCTATATACTTTGTTCCTTTCTTCAATTATTTCAGCATTATCTTGAACGGACAGATATTTTTAAAGGAGAGGCTGTRTAATCTTCCAGCCTTGGTCCACATGGGCTCCTGATGGTGCTGGGCTGGGCCTGGGCTTGCTTGCCTTAGTTCTGCGCTTACGAAGTCTGTCTGCTGGGAGAATTAGTATGCAGGGAGCTCCAGTGTGAATTTACAGTGTGCTAGTTACTTGGCACTAATTCCCTGGGTGGATGCTTCTGGTACCTACTAAAAGTGCTTTTGTGCGCGTTAGCTTTGAGAGGGTTTTTGTGAGGGTTAGCCGRCTGCTTTTGGAAAGTGAAGTATGTTGTTTTTCTACTCGCCGTGTGCCAGGAGGACCCAAACGGGCAGTTAGTGCCGAGTAGCTAATACGCTGTAAATTCACACCCAGGCTCCCTGCGCASCGGCCTCCTCGCGTAGACGCGTCCTCAGGCTCTGTACTTGGTCTTGCTCGGCAGGCAGCAGATGGCCCTTCCCTAAGCAGGGACTACTAGTAAAGCAGTATGAAGCGCACGTATATATGTGTGTGTGTGCATGCAGTTATATAAGATCACTTCAATATATGGCAGGTTTTGTAGACTAACTTGTGCTTTCTTAATTTTTATGGAGATAGACTAGGGAGGACTTGGCGTTTGCATTGCTGTTATCCTGGTCATTAATGAACCTGATTTTTAGCTATAGTTTTTTGGCAGGCTTTGACAACATCATTTTTTTCCCTTTTGTGCTAAAAGTGGCTGGATTATCCCTGTATTTCTCTCTTACTATATGAATAACCACACCTTTTGTGTGTAATTCTTTCTCTGTTGTGATTCCCTCCCCCAGCATTTGGAATCAGAGATGATCTCTGGAGTTAGTTCTTGCTTTAAGTGTGGTTTTATTGCTAATATTTTCTCTTGCAGCTTAAAAAAAGAACAAAAAACAAACAAAGAAAATACACCAAAATGCTAGATAAGAAATATTTTCTCTAGCACTGCAAATGCTTGTATGTGGAATGAACCTTTGCTTTAGGGAGACAGACACAAGTAATTTGATCTAATCATAGTCTACACTTTTATCTTAAGTCTGCATAATGGGTTATGTTTTCATGCAAAGTTGTATTGAAGAAAAAGAACTATTTTATCTTTCTTTTACCTTTGTATTTCAAATGTAAAATTAATTTCTAACTTGTCTGCAGTTTTGTCTATATTTTTCCTTTAGTATTGCCTGTTTCCCAGAAAATTTTGTATCACAAAAGTTCACTCGCTAGTTCCCCTCTATGCTGAGAACCCAGAAAATCTGTATTCTAATTCAATTATATGGTTATATATATATATATAGTAGACATCTGTGTGTGTGTATGTGCACGCATGTGTATGGATATGTATGAATAGGTGCRTGTGCATAGACACATATCACACACATATCTAAAATAAATGTATATTATGTGTGTATAAAGTGAGAAATATTGCTCGAAATGCTTTAGCACGCCTTTAATGACCTCAGCTACCCTAGCTTGCTAAGGATARGCAGCACCGTGTCTCAGCAGGCACTGGTTCTTGGAGGAAGTGCAGTCTGGTGCTGAACCCAGAGGCGCTCGCTCCCAGCGATCACTTTGCAAAYGTCCAAGGCTCCGCTGTCTGTTCCCTCTGATTGCAACTCACAGGAGCCCTGCAGCTGTGGCAGAGGCAGCGCAAGGCTCAGAGTTTTTCAACAGCAGCCATAAAACTGCTGAATGTTTGGGAAAATAAATGAGGAGGGGACGGCCAGGCCGGCTTAGGCCAGCTTGGCTGTTCCTGCTAGAGGACGGATGGTTGGGAGGAAAGCAGAAAATGGGATGAAAAGCAAGAAGGGCGAGCCCTGGAAAACCAGACTGCTGGTTCTTGCTGTTCTGGGGAGGATCACAGCTGCAGCCTCTGCGATGAGCAGCCAGAGCTGCCACCCATCACGTTGCCGCTGCTCCGGTGGCACCAGGCATGTCCTCGTGCTCTCGGCAAAGCAGGCAGCAACGTCTGCTTGCTGACTCTGTAGTCTGCCTGTTCTTGCCTTTTCCTTGGGCTGGCCCTCACTAGAGCCTATTCTTCTCTCAGTTTTGGCAGATGCCTTGTTTGCTGGACACTTAGCTTCCTGCAGCTGGAAGGAAAGAGGGGCATATGGCTTGAATTCTCAAGTCTTTGGTCGGTTCTYTTTCATGTTCAGAGGATTTTCTACTGGATTTTGGAACAGTAGTGATGGTATCTAACTTCTGRATGAATAAGAATTCACTGTATTTGGGGAAGGGGTTTATATAGGTTAAAGCAATCACTTCAGAGCATTTTCAGCTTTAGAGTTTTTAACGTTAGACTTTTAGAGTGTTTCTGTCTTTTGGGAGTGTTTTTATATTAATTTTTATGCTTGGTTTATTCCAAAAAAGCACCCATAACAAGACACTTTAAAAATAACCTTTAAAGGAATCCACAATAAAGGAGTCTCCATCTGTGTGAATGAGTTGTGGCAGATACGATGAAGCAATTCTTAAAATCCCACAGTTGCTGTTTGCCTTTAAACTGACATGTTATTCGTGTTTTAAATAAAACAGTCAAATACTAGGTTTAAAAAAACATTTAAAGAATGCTGTGGATTTATTAGAAATCCTTAACTATGTTGAAGCAGAAAGGACAGTTGCATGACCCTGTGGTACAATGTTGAACTTACCATATGAGCCCCTTGTTGGGATATACTTTAAATCATCCTTGATGATTTATGATGATCTTTGATTTTGATTTTTGATGATCCTTGATGATCTTTGATGATGTTATCATTCAGAACACAGGTGAGGCAGAACTAGGATGAAAGTATAAACCCTGGCTGCTGAACTGCAGCTTATCAAGCAGAAATGTGTTTATTGGCATTCTTTGAATGTGATTTCTTGGAGTACTTAACAATCTCCAATTAATGAGGTCTATTAAATGGTAATATCATACCTTAATTCACTTTATCTAAATTGGAAAAAAAGGTTCTTGGCAAAAGCCTCCTAGCTTTAGGAAGAAAGTTTGCATATTTAACCCCAGGATAATTCCTAATGTATATCCTTTCTTTATAGGATGCAATGATATGGGAAATAATGGRAAGCAGTGATAACGGTTTGGATTAATAGTATTGCAAAGAATATTTCTGTGAAGTCATTTTCACCAAGAAAACGATATGACTTGATTATGAGCTGAGCATGAATTAAGTGCATTCACATTACTCTTGCCCTTGTGTGTGATGATTCACTTTGAATCCTTTCCTCCCTGACAATTATATTGATGGGCTTTGTTAAGTTACTGCATCATAGCTATTTAACACCTGCAATAGCAAATCAAGTGAATGCAGTTTGCCTCTATGTTGAGGTGAACTAGCAGCATGGTGTCTCAAATGCAGTAGTGAGAACTAACAGCTGAAAGAGAATTAACTAATAAAACACACTAAACTTGCCAGTCATCTGACCATCCCCTCACTATGTAGGAAAAAAGTGCAAATACACTTAGGTAAGGATATTTTAAGTGAGGTACCCTAATCTACGTATATACATGTTGCAGTGTAATGGTCATAGGATCATGATCCCAGGAGAAGGGATGTTTCTACCATGTCTTGTAGTGCCAAACATTGTTCAGTATGTTAACTGAGTGATGATCCTGCTGGCAGCCCTCCTTAACTGAGCTTCTGTTGAAACCTTTTCTGGCATCTTTCAAGATGATGTTTGTACAAGGAGCTTGTCCTGTCAGGAAGCAATAGTTATGGGAAAAACAATTTTGTATCTCCTAAGCTCAGCAAGAAAGAAAAATATTTAGATTTGTTTGCATTTTTTAATATTTGTCACARTGCCAAGCTATTTAAAACAATCTGGCTACTCTATCTCTACTTACAGTCTTCTGATGCTACAAAATTATCATGAGCCACCTGAAATACAGCAGTAAAATGTGAGTTTTAATGTAAGTGCAGTGCTTAAAGCTGGTAGAAACGGGAGGGGGAGCTGTCACTGCATCAGCCAAGGCACTTTGGTGGAAGGGTTGATTGATTTCCTAACCCTGGGAAAGGAGGGGGAGCTTCCTTCTGCTTCGAGCAGAGYAAGGATGACTGAATTGCTTCCCATTCCCTCTAACTTTAACCCTTCTGTGAAAAAAGTAGATATTCCCATGCAGCCTTTGACATTATCTCCAGGTATGTGTTCTCTTTTCTCCATAGGTGGAGATCACCAATGATGTCCAGTCCTTGCTACTGATAATGCTAGCTGTCATGGTGGCCAAGATGGTTGGTGACTTGTTTAATGCATCCTTATACAGTTCCCTCCTGAAGCTGAAATGCATTCCCTACTTGGATGTGGAGCCTTTTGCTCGTCACAGGAAAAAGTGGTGAGACCTCTCTTTTGCTGCTGATGTTTAAGCTTTCTGTAGTCTGCGCCCGTACTTTGGGGTCCTCTGAGAMCCCGAGGTCTGAAAGGCAAAGGAGTAGAAAGAGACTTTAACCTGATCAAAGACCCCATGTGCAACCTGCTGTACAAATAAAACAAAAGAAACCTCCTCTCTCTTAGTTTGCAGTAGAATTTGATTTACCACTGTCACCAGATTCCTGAAGTCTGTTAGGTGCTCTGAAATGTCTAAATTRTCTAATTGGATGATGTTTATTAGTGCAGTTGGTTTCACGGGAAATCTAGCAGAGGTTTTCTCAGGCACCTCTGGTTTTCTGTGGCTTGCTTGTGAGCAGATGTGATGGAGCACAGGATTTACAAAAGAATTTCCTGAGTCCTTTATTGTGGAATTTGCCTTTTTTTCCAGATCTAGACTTCTTATGTATTCAGTGAAGTAAGATGTCTATCTTCAGACAGTAACYCCTACCATTCAAGGAGAGCAATGTTAGGTAGGTGGCATGAATTGTCCTCTGGAAGTGCCCTTATTGACAGTAGAGAGATAATAAAAGAACAGCTTGGAATAGACTGATGTGTTTTAAAATCAGTTCAACTACTATTATGAAGCTTYCATTTTGATAACTAGTTATCTGAAATTTCCATCTGTTAATGGGTATTTATGACCAGAAAAAAACAATTTCTCCCCTAAATGCAAGTACTGTAACAGCCTAAAATATTACTTCTCTATTTTTTCTCATATAGGTAGTAAGAACTACTAATATCTTCTAAAATAATTTTCCRTAATAATTGCTGTTTACAGAACAATTCAGTGGGCATTTCTCCCAGTTTTATGATCTACTGGAGAATCTCATATCTTCAAATAGTCCTTTAGAAGAATAAAAATATTGATGACTTGTTCTGTCCATGTTATAACTTTCTTTCAAATGTAGCCATATCTGAAAATCTTTAGCAAGCATACTTGGATAGTGGGTATAATCTCTCTTTGATGASAGAGCAGAAAGAGCCAGCAATGTGGTAGGAAGAAATAGAAACAATCTGTGATATTATGGATGTCTTCTATATGAAGCATGGCAGATAAGAGAGGAGAAGAAGCTATAAAGTTTCCCTTGGAATTCTGATTARATGACAAATCCATTGAAAGAGTTATAGCTACTTTTCTGCTTCAGAGCGAGGTCCTGTTCACTTAAAAGACAAATATATGTATGTATGAGTTTGTGTACGTATATATAAATGAATATATGTATAGATAGAGAAACAGACACATACACACATATAAATAAAATCTAATTTATCTCCCACACCTTTCCTTTTCCTCTCCAGGATCATTAAAGAAAGTTTTTTGGATAAGTTGGTTGTAGAATATACTGATGTTCTTCTAAATAAAGCAGAGAAAGATAGTGTTACAAACTGGTAAAGATTATAACTGTACATGTTACTGCCTGCCACATTTTAGCCAAAATCATCTTAGATGTTGAAGAACCACTGGCCTRTGGCTGGAATCAGTGGCTTCTTGGATACTCCATTGCCTTATTATCCCCTCAAAGAAATGAAGCCTCATGATTCAACCTTGTTAGACCTCATCAGGATTATTCTGTCTTGTAGTTTACGAATACCAAAACCCTGAATATTGACTCAAGGGGATTCTGGATTTATAATTCACCTCTTAAAAGGCATTTGAAGGAAATTATGAGCTGAAGATGCAGCCTTTGTGAGCACTCCAAGCCAGGATCCTATTAGCACAGAACTATAGAAACTAAGATTTAAAGGAGCTTAAAAATAAAGTCTCCATACGTATTTCCTTATCTCAGTTTCCTCATCGCTTCTGAACATCCTTAAAACTTGAGCCAGATTTCTACAGAAAGGTGCCTGGCCATGACCTTTCTTCTCAAATATTTTCCCAGCAGAGAGCTTTCTTGGTTGTTTTCCCTTTGACTGGTTCTGCATTTAAACAACATGCTGTGAAAGCCTGCCTGTCTGGTTTGCTGGTCTGTCTTTTATCTTGGAGTGACCGCCCTGAGTGTCTCAAGCTCTGGTGGTGTAAAAATCAGCTAGATTGTTGCATTTTGGRGGTGCCTCTATCCCTTTGTTTCTGTACCCAGACATCATTTTGCACTGGTCAGCCTTTTGCCCTGTTTGTGATTACTTGACTGGGATTTTTCAGCTTCACATTATCTCTACTCTGGCATAGCATAGAGGATGCAGGTTCTACATCCTTTATGTTCAATGATATTAGCTGTTCCATAAGCTCACAAAATGTATAAATAGTACATTGCTGGATTTCCCAAATCGTAGCAAAGAATAGGGTCAACTGTGTAGTAACTGGTAATTAACCCCTACTTATAAGCAGGTGATAAATTGTATAGTTGTGTATGCAGAGTGAAAGGCTTAGATAATAAACAGCTTGCTTAAAAGGCACATAAATTCCACATTAATTGTGATCCTTTTTCATCTGAAGCTGAGAAGGCCTTTGGAAAACAGTACCTGGTTGGTAACAGAGAGGAAAAGTGAGAAATTGGAGAGAACATACATTTTCAGGTCTTCAGTGATCAAGCTGCAAGAAGGATACTATGGATGTTCTCTTTCCTAATTCTTCATGTTAAAGATGAAGAGACTCATGTGTTAGATCTTCTAGTTGATTTCTCTTCGAGGACTGAATTCATTCAAAGAATTTAACACTGAACACCCATAGAAATAAGTGGGTACATAAAGAAGCTGAATTATGTACACAATTATTATGAAGACATCTCTGTAAATGTCATCTGTTATATAAAAAAATCAGACGAAGTGTGACTTAGGTGATATTTCACTACCTAATTCCTATTTAGACCCTGGCATCATTTTTTGCCTTTTGTTCCCATGGGACAGAGATTTTTTTTTTTTTTTTTTTTTTTAATTTTCTTAATGCTCATTATTTCTTTGAACCTCATTGATCATCTTGTCTGTTGTATTCTGTGCCCTGGATGATAAGGCTCCAAACACAGCTGTATCTAGTACATAGCTGCTACAGTGCACCATGATTTCCAGCTGCATTGCACACCACTGTAAACACCCCCCTTATAAAATCTGGTTCACTGGAACACGCAAAGCTACTAGCTGCCAGGGAATGTTCTTTAATGAGGGTAAGGAGTACTTGAAAACATCTACGACTTGGCAACTCTTCCTGCTTTTTATAAGCTACTATACACTTCAGAGAGAAAATATCTTAGAGGCTACTTTTTAATGGGACAAGTTTACTTAAGAGCTGAGTGGATCTGGTGCCAGTAGTTCTGTTTTGTTCTAGCTTAATATTAGCCTTGTCAAAGTTCTTATAGTGTCTCCTGGGTGTTTCTGTACTGCATACCATATAAAGCTGGTTTTGGGAGCCAAGAATTTTAGCTGGAATATATATTATAGTGGTCTTACACTTAAATATAAATATATATATATACATATATATCAGAGGTGGCCCTATATTAAAGATCCATGGAATAAGGGTGACTGTATTTTTTTTTCTTCTTTTCTAGTTTTGCCTTAGCCCATACTGCAGATACTGGATCCAGAATTTGCGCCAATCCAAGTTTGAAGGTTATTTAGGATCCAAGGCCCTGTTTTGGCCTGTTGTAAGAATTGGGATAATCAGCAAACTGTTTTAGATGAGGCTTTAAATTTTGAAAATCATCAGGTTTAGGGGGTGKTTTTTTTGGTTTGGGCTCAGCCTAGTAACAACTCAAAGATTCCTTACTCACTCGGCTGACAGAAGTGTTCATTCAAAGACAGCTTATTGCCACGCACATAGTGCATCCCACCTAACCTCTTTTAAAAGCCAGTGTGTTTCATGGCTGCTTAGCTTTCATCCTGAGAGGCATCATTAGGGGCTGGATTTGGCAATGTTTTCCCATCAGAGGGCATCCAGCCCATCTTTTGTAGAGTGTTGGCGGTAGAAGCTGGATCCTGTTCTGCCTGCGTAAAGGAGAAGGGAGCTGCTCTAACAAGGCCACACTTTGTTGGGAAGAGTCCTGGCTGCTACAGAAATGATGGAGGAGAGGTGTTGAGATGTGGGTGAGATTTATTAAAATTATGTTTGGGATCTAAGTAGTCTCTATGTCAGGCTTATACAAACATGGCAAAGAATGATTTTTAGTCCCTTTTTGCCTATTCTTCTATGCTGGGGTTTTAAATTTAGTATGATTCCATTACCTGAGAAGCAACTGTATGAAGCCATAAACTGCAGTATTGGCCTCCTGACAAAAACACTGCAGCAGAGCCAGATGTAGCTGCATGTGCACTGAAGAGCAGCAGTGTGGCCTTGCCTTGGTCTTAACAYGGGATTGGGGGTGCTAACAGGGGATGGATGAAGGCCTTATCTTACCCTCCTGCCCTGCCCCATTTTCCACTGAAATCTGTGGGAAAGTACAGCCAGTCTGTGACATGATTATTTCCCTGGACAGAGGCCAACATTAGACTTCTTAACAGTGCTCAGGCCTTCAGATTGTGCTTGGTTTCAAATTGTCCAGAACTGTTCCTAAAAAAGCGAATATTTAGTGGATGTGAATCTGGGTGAAGAAGGTTGTTTTAATATGAACATGTATGAAAGGTGAACGGCCAGCCGTATTACTGCCGAATATTAACCCGATTGCTCAACATTTTTGGTGTACTTTTTGCCATCTGATGAGTGGTGATAAACATGGCTAATTAGCTTTGTACTTTGCAGAAGATCTTGTAAGACGGAAAGAGGGATTTGCAAGGGAACTACAGTTTTGTTTCAGGTGTGGTCTTTTTCTTTATATTGCTTTGGTCAAGCCAATTTATTTCTCAGTTAYAAAAGGCAAAATGGTCTCTATATATTGCAAGTGGCCTTTAGCCTGTATTATTGAGTTCTTATTATTTATTTATATTATATTTATTATTTATGCTTGCTATTATTTATTAAGTATTATTGAGTTCTTAAATGAAATGCCTTATGTAAGGGCAAAACTTCTTATAAATGCTACAAGCAGATTTTTGACT